TTTTCAATATTTGTTAAATCATTATAAAGAATCCATTGAAGATAATATTTATTACCATATCTTGTTGTCTGACCAATTACGATTTTTGTGTTTTATCATTCAAAATGGAAAATTTTTATGCGGAAGAGGATCAATACCATCAATATGATGATGACGATAATAGTAGTGTGTTGTTGATGATAATTTTACATGAGAATGAATAAAAACTTCCAGTACAAGGTCCAATAGTTCATTGGCCAATGATTTAAGCGGTGGTTCCAGAAGACCTTTAAAAAAACGAATCATAACACATAGTTTTATGTGGAAGCATTTTGAAAAAGTGAAAGATTCAAATGGAAATGAATTTGTAATTTGCAAATTAAAAAAAAAAAAAGAATTATTATTATAAAAAAAAAATTTAGTTGACTAAAGAAAATTTTGACCAACTAGTAGTCGACTAAGGATTTTTTGGACGATTCTAATCTCTAGCTTTCTAACCTTATTTATTAAGTGTCTTTAATTATTTGTCTACGCGAAACATTTATTCTTGTTTACTTGTTTATATAAAAAAAAAACTTATCTTTAATAAATTTTGCATATACATTCTAAATATAAAATTCATATCCAACTAAAAAATCTTCATTTTAATATATTTATCAATTGATTCAACTAATAATAATGCCTCAATAATGCTGTTTTTCTGGGTGCGAGTTCCAAAAATTTAAACCGCATTTATCATTAAATGATGAATAAAGATCTATGTAAATTATTCTAATTGAGGAAATAAAACTTCGAATCTCTATGTTTTACAATGTTTATTGTGGTGTTTCTGTTCATTAATATCCATTTTTGAATATCCAAATATCCAAAAGAATTATGAATATTCGAAATCATCAAAGGACTTTTGGTAATGGGTAGAATTTCGAATATTCATGATTATTTCGACAGGTAAAAATCAAATTTAACCAAAGTTAAACTTTTAATAAACCTTCTGTTAAATTTAGAATCTCCAAGTTTAATAAAAAATTTGACAAATTTAGCTTAACAATCATGATACTTTTGTTAAATGTTAACTAGAATGCGAACGTTTATAATCACTTAGATCTCAGTGTTCATCGAATCTGATGACTGATATAAAAGATATCATAGTTAAAAATAAATGACAATATCAATGAATCTAATGAGAAAATTATTGGGAAATTGAAAGGATGAAGGAAACATCAAAGGATTCTCTAACGAAAAATTGTTGAAGATTCTGGTAAAAAGTTAATGGTCATAAACACAGAAATTTGAATTTAAGTTATCTTTATTGGTATTGATTTAGTCCAAATTATTTTTAAAAATTAAAAAATGCCTTTTATGCAATTTGTTTAATTAAATTTTAACATAAGCAAAGAATTTTTTAAAGTATTTGAATTCATCAATTGTAGTTGGATAAAATTTTTGCTAATGATGCAACTGGTGTAATTTTTATACATTGTACAGTGTTCCTAACCGAAAATCAAATTTTTTACGAATATATATAATTTATTTTGGATACTCGTAATTATTTTTGGATATAATCATTTCAAACATTTGTTATGATAATACAACTTGTTGTAACTTCTCCTACTATATAACAAACATTTTTCAAAGATAATAAAGATAACATATATTTTTACAACAATTAAATATTTATTCAGAAAACATTTTCATTTAAAAAGTAATTCCTTCAAAACCCAAATGGAATTTGCAGAAAAATTTTCCGAATACTTCAATTGTATAAATCATTTTTAAGATGTCATAATATTTTTACACCTGATAAAAAATGATGGTAATTTTTTTGAATTCATATGATGTTAATAATTTATTACAAGAATGTCATTATTCAAATGATTAAAATAATTGTTCTAACATTTTAATTAAACCATCATAATCTGAACGTGGTCAGAAAATCAAGTTACCAAAAAATGAGATGGGCTTTCCATTTAAGATGTCAGCCCGCACAATGAGGGGGATTGTTGGAAAATTTAGAAATCCTCCTGATGGTCCGGATGAACAAATCCAACGATTTTTTATTGACGAATGTAATCACATACCAAACACCAAACTTATAATTGGGGATGTTCATTTGACACCTTTATTGGGCACACGTAAACCTGACTTTGTATTTCTTAGAAAGGATGCAGTTACTGATGCACTTAATGTTGTTGCACTGGGTGAAATTAGAAAAAGACATGGTGACCATCTTCGGTTAGCTGATTACGGTCATGCTGCTTCATTTGCAGAAAAACTTCAACTACAACCTCGAAGAAGTTTTGCTTTTGTATTTCTAACAGATTGTAAAATGATTGTACTGATTAAAGTAACAAAGTGTGCAAACAACAAGTTCCTTTATAATTTTACCGTACCAGAATATCTTGCATACGATGAAAAAATTCCTTCGAAAGGATGGAAACAATTGATCACATTTTTAGAAAGTGAGCCTGATAAATTAGGCTGGATGGAACCTATTATATATGTAAATGATAAGGCAATAATTCTTGAACGTTCACTTGCTACTGGCAGAACAAGTGTAGTATATCATGGAAAATTAGAAAGTGATGATGTTGCAGTAAAGATAGCAAAGAATGATACTTATAAAGAGTGTTTTGCTCGTGAAATAGATACTTTATCTAGTTTAAACTTATGTCATATACCACAATTACGTGAAAGTAACTCTAATATATTGGTTATTTATCCACTTTGTTCTGAGATTTTAAATCTTAAAAAAGAGGATATACAATCAATTATTTCCACACTTAAAGAAGTAC